GCAGTAAGAAATAAAATACCGTTCTAATCTAATCTTTTTCGGCTGTACAATAATAAATAGATAAATGAATACCAGCATCAGCAACCTGCAACCCAATTTCTATTTCTTTTCAAATTATACTGCAGGTATAATAAAAAATACTATAAGATACACGTGTATAATTGGTCTTTAAAGCACTTGCAGCGTTAAAGGCACTCCGCTTCGCGTCGTGCCATTAAACTCGTTGCACGTGCTTTAAAGACTTGATTATACACTTGTATCGTAATATACTATTGTTTAACTTTTGGAATTACTTGAATGTTTAAGTAATATGCAATTGGGGAATTTTTCGAAACAAATTCCCCTTATGTGATGATTTGATCTGTCGGTCTGTCTGTCTGCTCCTCGTCTAACTCCAGAAAGAAAAGAGAGCGATGTCAGACCTTGGACACACATGCCTATTTGTTGTTCGAGACGAAAAGTCAGAGATAGGTAAAGAAAAAGAACCAATTAGTGTCTGTTGAAGCATGCGAGACAGTTGGGTCACCCTATTAGAAAAATTATCAATGATAATGGAAGAGAAATGGATAATAAGGCAATACGAGACATCTAAGCTCGAAAGGGGTAACACCGAGAATGACAGCCCCGTACCTAGACTCCGTAGCAAAATGGTTTGTCGCAACATCCATTATCCCTCCTTCTCAGCTATGGATAGGTAAGAAGCCAAGAATTGGGCACTTACGTGTGACCGGTTCAACGTATTATGTCCACATACCCGATGAAAAATCCCCGCCGGAAAACTTCAACTTTGCCATTTTAGATAGTGTATGCCTGTATGGTTAGTTGCCTAAGTGGCAGGTAAGCTTCCGATGATCATTACTGTAGTGGTGATCTTAGCCCCAGTTGCACCATAGAATTACCAACCAAAATTCAGCCTTGCTTAAAGTTAAGTCGATAGTCTTTGCCGAACTTAAAATCTATGGCAACGACAATCGTTGCTATGGTTTTTAAGTTATGCTTAACTTTAAGGGATACTTTATCTTGACGGTGCAATTGGCCTTTAATGTCATAGGTACATCTCTTATGTCATTAAACGTGATCAATAAATAAAATTCCTATTTATCTATTTTGTTACATAATTCAACCAACATCAATTCCTCAAGAATAATCACAAAAGCAAACGTTCTTGTCCTTGCTATACTTTAGTCTGATACATTTTCGGGACTTGATGTACTGTGGATTTCCATGGACACTGATGACCAGCACCGCGCGATTGGCCGTACCGGAATCGTACCTATATGCAACTCTGTTGGTAAGCTGAACATTCGTACATTTTCCCCATTTCTCTTTTAAAAATAAAGGTAAGTAGGTACTATGTATTAATGCTGGTCTGAAATGCGCAGCTGTTCCGCGATTACAGGATGAGTGTTCTCCTTTGCAAGAAAGAGCAAGACGTCAGCATTGGAGGCTTATCATGTGTTTCCGACGGCAACGGAACGTTTCCATGCAGTCGGCAGGGGAGAATGGGAATGGGGAACCCCATAAGTCACGGCTTTTGTGGTAGATCTGTACGATCGTACTTTGAGGTCAGTTCCGTAAATAAATGTCGGAAAGTTCATTTTTCCAGAAAAGGAAGAGATTTTGAAGCCATATAGGTACCTCTAACGCAGAGGGCGCTTTTTAAGACTGCTGGATACTAGGGCGGTCAAGTTTGGCGTCTTGGCGACAGTGTCAGGCAATGCAATTCACGATCACCCGGAGATTGGGACTGAAAAGAGTTCCAAACACAAACAATGTATAATATATGGGAGCCAGGTGGACGTCTCTTCCTGCCATCTGAGGTATATGGTACAATTGTTGATTCTAGTCAAGTGTGTCTCCTGTAAAAAGTGTGGCAAGCCAGACCTGCCATTCACCGAAATGTGTCAATGCGGGGGTGATTGTGGTAACACATACCAACCGTTTTTGTAGGATTGCCAACCAGGGAGGTGGTCAACATCGTATTAGGCGAGTTTCATGGGCGCGCATGATAGTGTCATATGAATTGTGTCTTTAGGACAGGAATATTGGTTCCGGTTCCGCATCACTACTTAAGTAGGATTATTATTTAAGGGTTCCGATACCGGTTCCGTGACTTTAATCATTTCTGGTTCCGGTTACAGTTTTTAAGGGTTCCAACATAAGTATACCTACATAAAAAATATATCATCAGAAAAAAATAATACACAACGTTGAAGTACGAGGATGAATCAAATATAAACGAGACTATTGGTCCCGCGCGCGTTTATTTAAACTTCAAAGTTCCGCACTGAAGGGTTTTTTACCGTTGGCATCAGGCGTGGGAAAAGCCAGTACCTAATCAGCATTGTCCGTTCATTCGTGTGTCGTCACGATGTCTGAGAAGAGGTGCACGTCGAATTTCTACTGTGCATCGCATTATTATTGAATTTCTTGCTTAGGAAGGCGTTAATCCAGCCGAAATTTCCAGAGAGTGACGAAACAGCTTAAAGGAAGAGGCGCTTTCAAGAGCTCGAATATTTGCATGGCACATAAACAATTCACAGAAGGCCGTGAGCGCGTCGGAAACGAGAGGCACGATTCGCCGCATTCGACAACTTCTTGACGTTGACAGGCGTTTGACAGTCATTGAAATTGCAAATGCCTCTGCAGGTGTATGAGCAGAACTTCAGAAGGATGGAGCATCCTCCCTTTTATAGTCCAGACCTTTCACCTTGCGAATTTCTTGTTTTCGGTCCGCTCAAATAAGACCCTCTGAGAGGTCCATGCATCAACGATGATTCATCACCTTTCCTTCTTATATGAAAGCAGGATATTGAAATAGCCTATCGCTGGGAGAGATATGTTTCGAAAGCAGGAGAATATGTAGAAAAATAACCTGTAATTGTTTTTTTATGTGTACTTATAACGAAAAAAATATTAAAAATAGAATCTTGTTTATATTTGATTCGCCCTCGTATATTGTGCATAAACATATTTTTTATTGTTTAATATGTAATGATCCTAGGGATCCCAATAAAATCTTGTTTATATTTGATTCGCCCTCGTATAGTGCATAAGCATATTTTTGTTTAATATGTAATGATCCTATATAGGGATCCTCCGAAGTCAACACTGCAATCTCGACTTACCCTGTACTTACAGTTCGCAACTGTGGGGGAAAAACTATGAACAAAGCCATCTAACTTAAGCAAGTCGAAACGACAGACGTTTCGCGGCACTTTTGAATCTCGGTAGCAGTCAGATCGGACTGGGTACGAATGGAAGGGAGCTGAATAAAATCTAGAATATTGTGCGTAAAAAAAGACGAGAACTAATAAAATATATTCTGTACACAATTGTTGTCTTAAGGCGATGCCAGGGAAGCCTTCTTCGGAACAAAACCCTAGTATGGCCCACACAAATACATGAAATAAATCAACTATGGCAACAAAATGCAACAAGATATAAAACCTTTAAAATTGTACGATAAAAATCAGGTAAATGACTCAAATCTAGTTAAAACAAATTCAGTACAAAAACACATTAAAACACATATGTATCATCGAGATACAACAACTCGAGAAAAATTATAAATTGCATGTACATAAAAAGCATCAAAATGGCGTGGCTCTACTCCAGTCTCGGTTACCATAATTTAAGATGAAAAGTACATGTGAGAATGCCAATAAGTATTAGTAGGCCATGTTAAAGTCAATTATTGCACAAGGAAAGTAATAGAAGGAAGGTTAATTACAAGACACCCTACTCGTGTTATTAAGACCCAAGACCTGAGGTCTGCACGAGATTGAAGAAAAAACATAATACACCAAATAATTGAACCGTATGACATTTCCTCCATGGAATAGTTAAATCAAATTACACAGATCAACGACATCACACTGATAATAAACTTCGTACCTAAGTAAATACTGTATTTCATGCCATCCGGTATACTGCCAGAAATGTTATTCATTTTAGTCTGATAATAAGTTCATTTCCTCCGGCTCGGATCCTGAAAAAATCTCAAAACGGACTGTTTTGTTATTTAAAAAAACTACTGTTAATGTGCTGTCAATATAAAAAGGTCAAAGCAGTCCAGAGACCATTCCATTTTTCTCAGTTTTCCACAGGTTTCTTCACATATTTCCCTAGAGGTAGGTTAAAAACTGAAAATTCTTTTTAGCTCGCGCATTTGTTCCATCTGTGTTCAGCCGTCATATTATTGTTTTTTATTCGATTATCTTTATTTTTGGTATTAGTTACTCTAAAGTATTTTGTTACCTGAATCTCAACATGGCAAACTTGGATACCTACTGACAGGGCCGGCTCGTCGAAAAAAAATGGGTGAGGTAAGCGCTAACTTTGCCGCCCGAATGAAAAGGTTTTTTGTTTGTTAATTGGTTCTTTAATAGTAGTACCACCAAACAACGAGAAAATTAAATAAAATCGTAGAAAAAAGGGCGTTTTTTGATCGCTTGTAAAAATTTTTCTATTGGACCGATTTTGTTTGTTTTTTTTTTTATCGACGCAGAATTTTGTTTTCTTTAATTTACTCAAAAATATGGCCTGGCTATATTTTATAATTGCTTTCAGTCAATTGACATTACAAAGATTTATTATTATACTACATTATTATAATAAAACTTTTTTTTTATTTTTAAATTTCAAAAATGCCGCCACTACGATTATGCCGCCTCGCCGCCTCACCCCACGAGCCGGCCCTGCCTACTGACGAATGCTCCTTTTCAGATTTTTAGTTTTAAAGCAAAATCTTAATAACCAATAATCTGCACGTTTATAAATGCGCCTCAAATTACTTCCAATATTTGTTGTACCATTCTTGATTCTCATTGTTTTACAAAAAAGACAAGGTCTGTGTTTTGAGCAGGAAAGGTCAATTACTCAATTAGTTTATTAGAGGAAGTCGCTCCTTCACTACCTTTAACAACATGATTACCTCCTACAGCCAGTATATACAACAGTGTTTTTGATGTTTCAAAGATAAAATCTTTCAGTTATATTTTAGGTTCTATTTCGTACCCTTGGAGATAAGTAAAAACTTAGCGATAATCACAGATTATTTGTATAGGAAGATTACTAAACTATATTTTGCAATGTAAAAAAAATACAAGTTTATGTAACATTACTTTCAACTAAATAATGGTTCCACATTTTTGAAAGATACCTTACTATACTTGAAAACTTTTACATACAACAACGAGATCAGGCACTTTTTACTTACATACGAGATAATGCTTACAAACAGAAAAATTCAAGAACTAAAATCATTGTATGGTCACTTTGCAATTAAAAGATGTTTCAACAACTGGGATTCAGATGTATTCGGAAATACATCTACAAACAGCTTCCTTCTACACGCGTCCTCCTTGATGCTCCCAAACATAGCGCAAGTCTAAAAACAACTTTTATTAAAAACCAATCTTATTTAGACAAATGCCTTACCGCAAATAAACTGGAAGAACCAATTATAATTAAAGCATACTTGGCTCTTGTCATTGCTACATTCAATCTTTGTTCGTCGCTTAAGAAATTGTTAGTATTCTCCCTGACGCATGACATAATGATAATATCCTTCTCCTGACCTTGGAAATTGTCCACGGTACTTACAGTGATACATGGTCGATAACTGAAAAATTGCACTGACGGGAGCTACAAAAACTTATAAGAGCTACATGCAAAATTATTCAGTATTCAGTGTAACGGCTGCTCATGGTGTCGGCAACAAATGTAAAAGAGTGCCCATGTGATATAAGCAGACAGAAATATTAATTACAATTTAAATTTCTTAGGCAGCCCATTTGCAATGTGTTTGTTTACATATTAAGATTGCTAAAAATGTATTTCACTCAGTAAACAGATGAGCGAAAGTTAACTTTTTATCTTTAGAATAAAAATTGATTGCAACTGTCTCCATACCGACACTCACACATTTAGTTAGCACACTACAGATATGAAAAATGTTGCAGGTAGCCCATTGAGCCAATCCAAATCAACTTACTCTATCTTTTCTAAATGCATGTTGATAACAGCTTTTTGATTATTATAAGGTGTTACTATTCCAATTGAGTAATCATGTTTGTAATATTTTGTTATCACATTCAATAGTTTTATAATGCAGTAAGTTTCAGGTTTACTGACATATTCCTGACTATTAACAATACTGTCCATATCAAGATTGAACACAATGTAAGGGCGAAGATTCTTAAAGATATTCGTCCGTTTGCTTACAGACTCGCTATCTTGCAAACGACCGCCATAAAAGTGTTTATTTGGAAACGCGCTTATCTCCGGATTCATCCTGTATTGTACGTTGAGCAAACGAACTGGATTCCTATCACTGGGAAAATTGGCCATGATTCTGGAAAATAAGGATTCGCCGTATCCACAATTTTTCACGTCTCGTGTTTGCGTAACGGCGGGTAGCTGTTTGGGATCGCCCACCAAAATCAGTTTGCTTACGCCCAACTTTAAGGGCATTAGAGTTTCTTGTTCGTTCCCTTGAGTTGCCTCGTCCACTATACAAAAACTAAATACGTCGTCTTTCCTAAAAACCGCCTACATCAAATTAAAGTTTGAAAATACTACAGCACTACCCTCGAAACACGTCTTCGCCCGATATTCGAATACTACTCGAAAGTGTGGTACACACAACTTCAGCTCCGCCTAACAGTTGCCTTTCATATTTCCTCAAAAGATTAGTATATCCTTGTCCCATTACTCGCTGCCACTTTTTATTATGTTCCATTTTGGCGTTTGAATATTTTTCTTTAATAGCAGCGTCGCTGGATTTCTTTATGGCTAAGTCCTGTAAACGTGCTGCATGTTTTTTCAAACTGTGTAGTATTTCTTTATCTGCTTCGGGGACTGAGTGCCACAGATCACTCTGAGTATTTCGTTTTGCAAGTTCAAATACGGAATGTTTCTGCACCTTACAGTTGATCATGTGGTAAGGACCATACCTTATTAGTTTCAGATCTCCTAAAAAATTTAAACATTTTTAGCGATCGCTAAAGAACTTTAATTTTACTTCAGAATTTACAAAAAAGCTGCATATTGTGCAAGTGTGCTGCTTTCCACAGAAGTTCGCTAGATGCTATATGTCCGTTAGGCTTGAAGAGTCCTGAAATTGGGACACGCGGGTAAAAGTGGTGAAGGGATTTTGCAAAATATTTTACTTTGGATCACGGCATCGTTAGCAGTTCGTGCACGATACCCTATCATGATCTACACATCTTTACAATGACTGGTACCCATCTTGTATGTGGAGGTTGGCACCGGGCGCGTTCGCAGGTAGCGGTTAGGGGAATGGCCCTGTGAATAATCGTATGAGACACAGGATTAATGCGGAAATGGGATGTTCACAGGCATCGCGGACCATCTACCTCGTCCGACTGTTGTGTCGTAGATAAGGTGATAAAAAAAGGTGACCTGGCATCCCAGGCCTGTAGAAGTACTCATATGGTGGCCAAACAACTGCAGCATATACAGAGGTTGGCCTGTTTAAGTGTGACAGGAGCCATGAGCCCACAGCTGCTATGGAGGCACTGCTAGGCCTTGCGTTTCTCCACTTAATTGTGAAGAAATGGGTAAGGCAAAAATAGACATCTTCACAGACAGACAAGCTGCACTGATGGCGTTAGTAGCCCGTACCTGCGACTTCAAACTAGTCTGGGAGTGCATCGCAATCTAAAGAAATCGGCAACTGGCAACCGTATCACACTATGGTGGGTGCCAGGGCATTCGGACATAAGGAAGGCAACATAAAGGCAGATGGGACACGGTCAACTCGCCAAGGGCGACTCGCCACCGACTGACTCGCCAACGGGACAACTCGCCAACGTGACAACTCGCCAACGCGACAACTCGCCAACGGGACAACTCGCCAACAGACGACTCGCCACTGCGACAACTCACGGTCAACTCGCCAAGGGTGACTTGCCACCGACTGACTCGCCAACGGGACAACTCGCCAACGTGACAACTCGCCAACGTGACAACTCGCCAACGGGACAACTCGCCAACGGGACAGCTCGCCAACGCGACAACTCGCCAATGGGACAACTCGCCAATGTGACAACTCGCCAACGGACGACTCGCCACTGCGACCCACAAATGCAATAGTCAATTTCCCGAATTTTGTAAACAAAGTTTATCGAAAAATTGAAGTCAATATTTGAATGAAGACCCAACCGCCTATACCTGTTTCTATTACTGCATTTTGATATAACGACATCTTCTGCAAATTATTATTTGAACAGAAAATTTGACAATCACATTAAACAGGGAAAAATATTTCGTTGGCGAGTTGTCGCAGTGGCGAGTCGTCCGTTGGCGAGTTGTCGCATTGGCGAGTTGTCACGGTGGCGAGTTGTCGCATTGGCGAGTTGTCACGGTGGCGAGTTGTCCCGTTGGCGAGTCAGTCGGTAGCGAGTGGTCCGGTAGCGAGTCGCCTTTGGCGAGTTGACGCGTACCGAGGTAGATGAACTAGCCAAACAAGGAGCTAGGCGGAAGCCAATAGAGCTGGAGCCCTACTGTGGACTGCACAAAAGCCACATAAAAGATTCCCCAAACCAGTGGGAGGAGATGAATAGGATCCATCACTGGCAAAGGGTACCAGGCCAATGACAGGTCAAATTATTCATCAAGGTCACGGTACAAAAAGTCAAGGACGCTTCAGCCCTCAACAGGAAATTACAGGGCTGTTCACAGTTCATATACCGCTTAAATAGATAGATTAAATATATTCCACGAACTTTAAAACTTTAACTATTTTCAAAATCCAATCATTAAGAATCTAATTTGAAAGTAGCCAATTGTGGAAAATTTAGGAAAGTTAAGAATAATTCAAAAAAGAACGCAAAGATGACTATTCAAAAAGATTTAAAAACATTACAATTTTAAGTGTTAGAAGTAAAAAAAATTAAAAAATCGCGTAAATTGAAAAGGACATACGCAATTAGTAACATTAAAAAAATTGGAATAACAAGAAAATTGAAAAAATCGGAAATAGAAAAATTTGTTTTTTGTATTTTATTAAATTTTGGCAGTTAATTTATATAAAGTATTTTAATTTTCTAATTAAATTTATGTTTGAATTGAAATTGAATTCAAACAAATCTAACTAGAAAATTCAAAAAATTTTGAATTCGAACATAAATCTAATTTAATAATTCAAAAAATTTAGCAAATTAGCAAAATTAGCGATGCGTATAATTTGGAAAGATGAAAAACTGGAAAAAATTCAGTAGGTCCGAGAAAACAAAGTACAACAAATTAAAATTCGAGAAAAATTCAATAACGTTTGAACAATCAACGTCAAAAGCTCAAAACCCGAAATAATCCTGAGAATTACAGATTCAAAAACTTTTGAAAAATTACAATTTCCGCAAGTGTAACGCAATCAAAGTTCAGACAAATTATGCAAATGCAGTTGAAATAAAATTCGGAAAAATTCAAAAATAACACACGGGAAAATTCTAATGAAATACAATACAATCACAAAAGTTTATGGAACGCCGTTTTAGTATTTATACCAACATTTTATCATGTATCATTTTAAATAACAGTCAATCTTATGTCTCTAAATTTTTCGTTTGTTGTTTTTATCTTACGTATTAAGAGATTGATTAAAAAAATGTTGATTAATAAAGATGATACATGAATTAAAATGTTTGTTGATAATTTTAATTAGGCGCTAGTATACACGTAGTCAAATAGACTAAACTGTAGTTCCTGAAACTTCCGCACAATCAGAGATACGAATTAAAATTATCAACAATCATTTTAATTAATGTAACATTTTAATTCAACAATCACTTTAAATAATTCTTGCCGATTTTAACAGCATGAATTCATATGATTGTTGAATTAAAATGTTCTCTGAAAATATTTGTACAATTTTATTCCAAAATTTTACAATGTGCCATTTTAAATAACAGTCAATCGTATGCCTCTACTTTTTACGTTTGTTGTTATTGTCTTACGTATTAAATATGATTGTTTAAAAAATGTTACTTAATAAAAATGTGAAATGAATTATTAACAATTAACAATTAATAACAAACAATTAAATTGAATTGCAAGAAATACTTCGATTAATAAAACGATTTTGTCCAACAAACATAAAAATTCATTCATTTTAAATGTGGTTTTTACAAACATTTTCATAAATAAGTTTGACGATTTTATTGAAAATTTTACCAATTAAAATTTCACGTAACATAAATTCAACAACAACAGCACGAATTAATATGATTGTTGAATTAAAATGTTTGTTCATAATTTAGCGTTGACACACATTGCTATATATAATTCATACATCACTTCAATTAATTTAAACAAATTTCAATAAAAATAACAAACATAATAAATCGGTTGTTCGTAATAAAAAGTATGTTCCATAAAAGTTCATTTAATTTTTGGAATTTTTATGTGTTTAAAAATTTTTTCGAAAAATTAGTCACGCAAAAATTTTAAAAATTTAGAAATAATATTTACACAAAAACTGCGCTAGAATATACTTCACGTTTTGAACAAACATAAAAATTCATTCATTTTAAATGTGGAATTAAAATTATCAACAAACATTTTAATTCATCAGTCATATAAATTCGACGATTTGAAAATTTAAGCCGAATATTTTCAACGTTAGACGTAGTAAAAGTTCAGTTAAAATGATTCACTGAATTTACAACTTACCTTTGAGATACTACTCAGAACTAATTCTACACTTAAAAAAATATGAAATATAAAATAAAAACTATACTTCTCATAGAGTCCTTTAAGATAGAAATCCTCGCGACCAATTCATCGACAGCTGCATTGGACGGCGCGAGTATCAAAATACACTTTTGCGGCGTGTAATTGGGATCAAACAAAATTTGTTGCAAAATATTTAATATAACAGTCGTTTTTCCGGTCCCAGGCGGGCCCTGAATGAGGTACACGCCGGGAGAGTTCCTTTGGCAGATATAACTAGCTTCTAATACCGCAGCTTGTTGGGACATGTTTAAATCTCCCTAAAAATTATAAGCAAGCACGTGAGTCGGTGCACTGTCAAAATTTACCTTGCAATACAGTGTTTGCTGCGGCAAAGGTCCTATACTGTAAAGTTTCTCGGTGGGATGCAAAATGTGAGACAGCAGCGCGGAATGTTTCATACCCTGAACGGATTTAAACAGTCTTAATGCGGGTACAACCGAGGCGACGTTACGGAGTGCATTCACACCACGCAAAATCGTTCCTTTAACAGAGGTGATTGTGATGTGAATGTTGATGGACGCAAACGGAACTATGTGAATACTGTCTGCAACTGATACTAAAAATCAGGGGCGTTTTCGACACATCAGTTAAAATCATACAAGACTTGTTGATACAAGTGTTTGGATGTAATGCAGTTTTGGTAGATCTCGTTACCAGACCTAAAGCAAAATGATTTCCGCGTTTATTCTTCACTTCCCGCTCGTAACTAATAATTAGAATATCGTCTTCCTTAACGTATGGGCTGTCGTACTGCTTTCGATCGATGTATGCTAAAATAACAGTGGGCTAGAAGTTGTCAATTTGAAGACTTACTCACTCGTATAATGTAGCGCAGTCAGGTCAGAAGATATCTTCACGTCTGTTAGTAAAGCAGAGAATTTATGGGATTTTCTGGAAAGATAATAATAATTGGCCATTGCATATACAGAGTAAAACTGTCTGCAAGTGGTCGCAGCTCATGTAAACTAATTGGCATCACAGTGCTCATTCAAGAAGTGCGTTTTGCCAATTCCCCAACAAAATTGGTACAAAATTTGTATATTCAAACGAAAACCAAATCCAGACACAGTGCACATGCCTACGATGACAAAATTGGTGGGAAAAAATGGAAGATTGCAATGTTAGTGTCACTTTTATTGGTTATCAAGGTCATTAGTTGCAAATGTGACAGTGATGCAGCTCATTAATGGAAATGTGACAGTTTCCATGTGATTTATTAAGTTTTCCGTGTATTTCAGAGATAATAGTATTTTACATTATTAGCCAGGTAAGTGAGTTTTTACTGGCGATAGGAGAAATTGACTGGCGAGCCGTCAGGCGAGCCTGTCATCTCCTAGAGCCAGTAAAAACTATTACCTGGCGTATAATGTACAATATTTTATTTGTTACTCATTTGAAATATTAAATAATTAGTTCTTAAATTAATCTTGAAGAAATGTCTAAAATATCATGTTATCCATGTAACAGAGACTTCGCATTAATTCTGGCCAATGAAATTACTAGATTACTAACTTGTAAAATTTTTACAGGTCTGCTGTCAGTTTTACAGGTCTGCTGTCAGTTTTACAAGTCAGTAGCGTTTAAACATGACGTTTACCCGTTTGCGTTTTGTCTTGTTAATCAACGTTTACAACTGAGTAACAAATAAAGGTAATTGTTTGAGATAACAGGGCTATTTTAATCTTTAAGAAATATTTCTAAAAATTAGTGCGGACGTACCCTTTTGAGTTTCGTGGTATTGATTATCGTCGTTTCTATACAGCTGTTATTGGTTAAAAAAGTTTTACGAATTTTAAGTGGGATTTCCGTTTGAATACGAGAGACGCGGAAAGAAGACGCCTTTTGTTCAAGTTCGAGCCCCTGTTACGGTTTAGTTATTGAAGCCTTTCGTCCAGTTTCGAAAGCGTTAGTTAGAAGAAGAGGAGTTAGTTTGCCAGTTTCGAGGTCAAATACATTATCATAAGGGGGTGGCAAGAACCACTCCTTTCACTGGAAGAAACTATGATTTATTTCCCACACAGTAGATGTATGTCATAAAAAATGCCTCATATCCCGTATAAATCCGCTGATCCGGCAAAGGCGAAAAATATTGGGTGCCGGATTACCGAGCACCTACTGTACTAAATAATAATCCAATTTTTTTACATGATTACCTGATACCTTAGTAAACGCAAATGCGTGTTATGTTAAAAGTGTGCGCATGCGCAGAAGCAACCTTATAATTTGAGTAATTTTATTTAGGAAAAGCAATTAATGAAAAAAACAGTCCGCCCGTGCATAGAATAACTGTAATATTTGTGTTGTGATTTTCACTCCGAATTAATAATAAATCGTTACCAATTTCAGGCAATACAAAAATAACCTAGAAGAAAATGCGACCAAAACCAATATTAACACCCCCCAACCAGACCACTTGAATGAGACTGTAGCTGCGAACTGGAAGTGGAAGTAGAAAAATAACAGATGTCACTGTGAAGTGACCAACAATTCTACTTACTTTTGCTCATTGGCTAGTTCATACTCTCTGGATAAAAAAGCCCATAATTCCATCAACATCGGGGGCGTAACTACATTGCAATATTGTTGATATGACGAAAACCACTTTGGCATCCTTTGTAAGTCACACTGGCACACCTGTTTTGGTACACTATTTTGCTTTTTAAATTCGACAAACCAGTAAGGATTCCAGCGCAGCATCTCCTTTACAGCATACTCAATATCAGAATTCCTGCCCAAGATTATACTGCCCTCTCGATTTTTATGGCAATTGTTTAAAGGTCTGAGACAGTGCGGTACCTCTACCACTGGCTTACTCGCCGGGGCTTCTGCAACTGGATTAACCTTCTTCAACCTATTCTTTTCAATGTGCGGCGGTATTATTGGCACTGTTCTCTTCTGCACTTTGGGTATGACAAACTTTCTATCATCTGACGACGTTTGAACCTCACTTTGAACTGATGGGCCTTTACTCGTCGACGGTACGTCAGGTTCGATCAAGAAGTTTCCTCGCCCCTCGGATACTTTCACCTTTTTGGCGGCCCTTACTTTGGGGATATTCTCCTTTTCTTTATTGTCAGCAGTTTTCAAAGCAATTTCTTTTAACCGCTGCCGCCTTTGGTCTTTTCTATCGACCTTTGGCCGCCGTTCTTGTGGTGTTTTATAGAAAGTGGAAGTTTTTATTTTTTTTACGACCGCGTGCTCTTTCTCATTTTCTTTTCTTTTAGCACTCTGACTCTTATTCGTATCTCTTGTTGTGCTTTTTGTACTCGTGTGTTTATTGGGATCTTCTTGAGCCATATTAGTAGCTTCTTCTGCTACTACAGGTTCTTCTCTGTTTTCAGCAGTAGGTCCTTGTCGATCTTCACCAATGGCTTTCTCTGCATTTTCATTACTAGGTTCTTCTCTGTTTTCGTTATCGTCTTCTAACCAACTATCAAAATTCATCTGACTGTCTTCATCGTTTATACACACAGTACTGACAACAGTACCATAGGGCACATCGTATGCGTCATACGCTTCCAATTCTTTTTTTATTGCGCTAAACACGTTGTCATTGAAGTCTTCACCAGTTTCTTTGTTTTCACTAATCGTGTTTGGGCAAACACCATCCATCAGCTGAGAATAAGTTTCATCATCAGAAATAATAATGTAGTCGTCCTCGATTGGTTCATTTTCAGTCGTCTCCATTTTGACAATCCCGCATTCCTCATTTTGGTGTTGGCCGTTCTCGTCCTTATTACTTGTGCTGGAAACCACATCACACCTCAGATCTCCTGCATTTCGCAAAGTGGAGTTTGGTGAATTTAATGTGGGACTAGTTGAAGATGTTGGAAGACAGTGGGTGGAACCTAGTGTCCTTGTGTTAAAAACTCCATTGCTAGTGATATTCCCACAGTTACTTGCCGAATCGGGCAAAGCACTTTCAACAATAGGTTTTTGTAGTGTGTGGGGCGTTTCCCCATTTGCATTCTGTTCACAATTCATAGGCAACTCGCCATTATCATACTGACTTCCACCCAATATTCGCATGAGCTCTTCCGCATTCTGATGGGCAGATGGACTTTTGGGTTTGGAGGAACTGCTATTCTCCATCTCGTTTATTCGCTGTTGAATATCATTAACCAATGAGCTAGTGCTCTCCATGTCGCCAGAAGGCGGTACATGTTTTACTATAAAAATTAAATTCTCACTATGGAGGCTACCTCCATTGGAGGATAGCTCTGGTAACTCCACTTCTAATTGGCTATGTAATCCTAATCCTACTTCGTCATTATGGAATATTTCTCTATTAAAAAATGGTTGGATTCTGATACAATTAACGTATGTACCATTGGCACTCTGAAAAGAATTACAATGTAGCAAATTTCCTTCGAGGGGGAAACCATTTATACAGTCAGTGATGTCATGTCTATATAGTCACTGCTACAGTAACTTTATAGAGACAGTGGCGACAACAGGGTATCTCGTTTTTGATTGGTCGTTGGATCCGGTCGCCATATTGGAGCTAAATCCCAAACTGGCCAATAGAAAGCCTCCAAATCGACGCGGTACACTGGATACACTCCGTGCTATAATTATTAATTATAGTGTTTTGACAGTGTCACCTGTGATTGTCACGGCTTCACGTTACTAGTTTACACTTTGCTTCTTGTATTTGCTTTATTTTACATTTTCCCTCTCCAGTTTTATATAAACTCGATTTTTAAAGACGCATATAGCCGAGCATATAGCTTGGATTTACGATATTATAAGGTATGTAATTCGCATAAAGTGTATTTAGATGTAAAACTGTGCCTAATCTTACTACTGGTAATTGATGTAAACATTTTTTCAAATCTCTAAATACCTAATGAGTTTAGATAGAAAACTGGTTAGAGAAACAGCTTATCCGAAATTTAGCAGCAAATTCAATTACCTATGGTAATGGATGACGCAATTGTGATCATAAAGGCTCTTAAATTGGTTTAATGTTTAACATTGATGATTGCTGAAGCACAAGGAATATTGATCTCTTACTCCGTGGACTAGATCAACGTGTTTCGTCTTCCATTTAAGGGACTAAAGTAATACTTTTTATCCCGGAAGGAGAAAACGCGACAAGGGACAAGAAGTGACAGAAGACACTGAAATCACAGAATAAGACCTTCACAGAACAGAAACATAAATGGCGCTAAATTGTCACTGATTACAGCGTTTCCCGTGGTTGTACGGAGAACTATTTATCGCAGACTCAAATTTTTTTTTGCAAAACCTGTAATATTGCTCGTTACAGGAAATATTTTTACCGTCGATTTTATACGTACACATGGTTTTACACATGTCAATTTTGACTTTTAAAAGATTTAAAATATGAACAAGTTATGTGACCGTAAAGTGTTGTGTGGCGGATTTTAACTATAAAATATCAAAAAGGCATCGTTTCCCATATTTTGAAACAGATTGTTTTGTGTTTGAAACGCGAAGAGGGTTGAAACGTGCTGTTATTTCTCTCCTATTTATGCAAGGTATGGAATTTATAAATTACCAACGGTAAAGGCGCAAAAGGGTGTAGACTTGAGTTTTATATTTAAGTATACATATAGACGTAGATACTTATATTGTAATTCCTTTTAGACAATGAATAAAAATACGTTTTAGATAATTCAACAACTTCCACCTTCGCTTCTCAAGTAACAAGTAAGCATCAGGATCAAGTTAACATTTGTTGTCAAGTGTGACAATTTGCTGAAACGGTTTTATTACCTCTTGGAACAAAAAATTTAGTTCTAAAGATATTTTTTAACAAAAATATGTACTTAGTCCAAACAGCAATTAAAACCAAATATTTCGTACGACAAATCCTTATGTAAGGATCTTTCTGCAAAGTGTTAACATCTACAAAGCGTAAGTTCCACTCACTTCTGAGTTTTATATGTAGGTAATTTGTAAACATGTAATTTAAGTTCTCTGTGTTAAATAATGTAATGTGATTATATCTAAATACACTTTAATTTAACAACTGTGTGTTCTTTATCGATATTTATGATTTAGATCAAATTGGGGAAATTATTTCATGAAGCTGGTCACCAGATGGCGCTACTCTGATTTTGATGTTTTAGTTCACAGTACACCCACCAGGGTCCGCCAAAATACCATACAAATTTTTAACATTGCTGTTTCTATTCTGAGAAGGCCGTATTCTGTGACTGAAATGTCAAACACAATTTAATCATTAATGGTTACCTTTATATGTACATTTTGGATATTGCACCATATTTTATACTTATTATACCGTTTTCCATATATCTTGTTGAATTTGGGAGGCAGTGGTTTTCCTATAGGTTGTTCTGCAAAGCTTAACGATCATTTCTGCACTGTTAGTTTTGAACGAGAATCTTTTACTTAAATGAAACCGACATTTATTATTCTTCGGTGACAATTTAACATGACAAGGTATATTGATCCTACAATCAATTTTTTAGCTCCAATATGGCGGATTATGATAAGTTGTCGCCATTGTCCTTATAAAGTCACTGTAGTCACTGCTAATGCCTTTCCAAATAGCATGCAATTATTATGTTTGGCAAATGCTTCGTAATGTCATGTCTGATGACATAGTCTTTCCAAGGATGCTATATAATATAGGATTGCCTGATCCCTATACTCGTAGTGGTGCTTACGTTAACTCATATCCCCATTCTAATGTGACATCTCCCAACGAACCGGGCTGTCAGAATTGAATATTATAATTTGCTTGCATTGTAAATGTTTTTGCATTAGTGTTATAAGGGTGTGTATTAAGGCTCGTTGTATTGCAACAAAAATGGGTGCTTGGATGCTGATGTGCAGTATTGGACTGTAATAAAAATTTGGGGTAATATTCACATTTTACACTCCACTCGAGCCCATTTTAGCCAGTGTCATTAAAAACGTAGACACATAGCTATTGTAAGCTGGACAAAGTATCAATAACTGATTTAACTATAATTACCAGGGATTCTGTGATCGAGCAATCTATTATAGCATAGCATCCTTGAAATGCAATTCCTCTCAGTTTACTTTCAACATATACTGCTAAGAAATGACTAGACATACCCTATTATCCTTTACGTACAGCCTCCCATTGGATGTGATAAATACAGCATGATCTCTGGAGACATTTATGTTTCTACTAGGAAAATCGCACTGTCGGTTACGACCAATTCGAGTCTCCTCTCTCCTAATTATTATACACAGATCACTCCTGTGTATGTGCTGCAAAAGCCACCCTCCCGCCTCTGCCTGCATCTACAAAAAACGCGAGTTTAGCAAAAAAATACGACATTCATCAATCAAACTAATAAAGACTTCTAAATTAAAAAATACGTGATCTTTCTACAAATTAGTTAAGAAAACTTGTACGTTTCTTGGTAATATGCACCTTTTTTCGTTTTTAAATTTGAAAACGGGCGAACCTATTTGTTTTTGGGTTTTTTGACAGTACACACAAGCACGACGTGGATGTGTCTATTTACAGCCAAATCGCCGCGAGGTAGTAGGCACAGTTATTGTCAAGAACTGTTGCAATACAGGGTGTTAGACAAAGTTCTTGTGGGGAGGCCTGTAATCTGGATAGTAATTCAAAATTGTAGTCGCTGTGTTGAACTGTGCTGCAAGTGGTCTTCTCGTCTTGATAGGTTTGTGTACTTCATCACTTGTTGACATATTCTTGTCTTAATACTTAAATGATGCAGAGAAGCTCAAAGTATGAGTGAATTAGAATTTATAGCATGGCCTAAGTCTGCCTAAGAGATGAGCAAAAGGAGATAAAGAACTGATTGTGAGGAAGGTGCGAGGAAAGCATATAAATGAAACAAGCAAATAAGAGAGAGTGGGCGTGAGAAAAAGAATTTAAAAAAAGGCGTGAAGAAGATTTCACTGAGACACGAAGAAGGATCGTATAGGAAGCCTGAAGAATGCGTGGTTTCCAGTTGGGACAAGGGCGATGGCGAAAAAGATGCAGATGCTCGAAGAAAAGGCGAAAGTACAGGGCTTGAAGAAATGTGAAGAATACGTGAAAGAGACGAGAATAAAATGAGAATGATGAGGAGAGGAGGAAAGAGGGAAGGGGGTCAGGAAGAATTGGTATAGAAGGAATCATCGTGGAAAAGGAAAAGGAGCCACCCTCTTTACTTTGGAGACATAAAAACGGGTCGTTGATGGCCTGAAGAGAATAGGTGATAGGTTTGAAAGCAAGCATGAGAGAGTGGGGTAAAGTGGACGCAGAGGTACGACGAAGAGGTGAATGGAACGTGAAGGAGACGTCAAAGGAACTAACAAATAGACGAAGGATACATGAGCAAGGCGCGAAAGAGGCATAGTTAAAACGTAAATAAGATGCGAAAGACGGAGGGGAAGGGATAGGTAAGAGGTGTGGCAAGAAAACCTTCAAGATCGTCTCCACACGCATCCCAACCAGATATATTCATCTTCACGGATGGATCTAAGACAATGGAAGGAACAGGCACTGGTATTTACTCCAAAGAACTGAACTTTCATATCACCCAACCACTAGGTAAACTTCTTACTGTATTCCAGTCAGAGTTGGTAGGATTAACGCTTAGTGCAAGAAAAGTTCTTATGCATATCATAAAGAACAAAACTATCAGAATCTCAAGTGACAGCAGGGTTGCTTTGCAGTCACTTGGTCACTGTAAAATTACCTCTAGGATGTTTTCAGAATGTCACCATGTACTAGAGCAAGTAGCAAGCCGCAACACCCTTGAGCTCGTATGGGTCAAAGGGCATGCTGGAACGGAAGGTAATGAGAAAGCCGATAGATTAGCCCGACTGGACTCAAAACAGGCGTTTTATGGTCCAGAGCCGGCTCTTCCACTTACAGTTACAACTGTAAACAACCTAATAACTCAAGACACCCAAACCCAGCACAGGGCTAGGTGGACTTGATGTTAGATTGTCGCCATGCGAGAGAAGCCTTCACAGGACTATCTCGAAGCTTGGCGCGTTTTTGTCCAGGGCTATCAAGGAAGAACCTGAGGTTACTCGTGGGCATACTTTCTGGGCACTGTAAACTAAACAAGCACATGCACTGCATGGGTTTGATGGAATCACCATCTTGTAGAGGATGTTACACAGACGACGAGACGGCACACCACATACTCTGTGAATGTCCCGCTCTAGTCCAACTGAGACGATCCATGTTGGGGGAATCCTGGCCGGACATGGCTACGATTAGAGCCGCCTCTCCTTCCAGCGTCCTAAGGTTCATCTCACGTGTGGGATGGCTTGAGTGACGTTGAGGGGTCGGGCGACCCTAGTCAGGGAGGTAGTACAAAGGGCCCGAATTTGAGGCCTAAGTACGCGTGGACACTGTCCACTCTCCTATCGTAATCTAGAATCCAGAATCCAGATCGTCTCCACACGATACAATTTCATTGCACAAATCCGACTGTTGCGCAATCATATTGTACATCTGTGGACAACCTTCCATCATACTGTGCAATGAATTTGCACAATAATATTGAGGGTGCGTGAGCTGTGTATTTTTTTAAATACAAATTTGAAACGTCTTCCTCAACTCGCCCCTTTATCGTTTTTGAAATTTGGAAGAAATGAAAATTTTTACTCCGCCATCTACGATCATTACTTTGAACCAATCTGTATTTGTTGCTTTGCTGTCAAAAACAGCTGAAAATATGTTGTTGAAAAAATGTATTATTTTTTAACGCAAATGTTATTGTATGCAATTGGAATGGAGTTAAGGTGAGTTTTGTTTCTTAAATTCTTTTCCTTATTACCTACTTTCATTTTCGTACAATACTTGTAGGCTTCACAATGGTAGGCTCTGTTCTCGATTACTTATTTACCTCATTTTAGGATTTATACGATTTTGCTTTTGAAGAATTTCTCACATCATTACATATCGTGTGTATTTTGAAAGTGAAACTACGAAACGTTACTCGTAACTGTTGTTACACTATTCGTAAGAGTCACAAGAACTGCTTTTTGTAGTACATACTCACATAGTGCCCCTAATGTCAATGAATTACTTGGGTGGAGGTTCTTATTCTAATTACACAAAAGAGTTTGCAGTAGAATTGTTTAAAATGTCTTACAAGCACTTATTTTCACTTATACAGGGTGCTGCGGTGCTTGTTTACAATTTACAAGTTGCTAGAAACGTCACATTTCAAGAGGCAACTTACTTTATTTCCTCAAATTCAAGCTACAGTGTGTACCATGACCAAATCATATATCGAATTGACCCTCATTTTACATTTACAGAGTGTATCAATGTGCACTTCTAGTTGATTGCTCTCGTAAGGTTCAGAATGTTAATAAACCATTTCATTAGAATTGAGGTCAAGTTATTCAAGTTCACACATTAATCTTCTTTATTGTGCGGTGGCGTTGACAATCACTTTCAACCTTTTTTACAGGCAAACAATTCATTCTTGGTGGACTGTATTATGCCAATCTTCCTAATCCTTATGATTTCAGTGAAGCTGACTACTAACAGAGCAAAGAGTTTCACCATGTCTCATATTGACTTGTACTTTGATAGCTGGCCATACACAGAGAGGTTGATCCGCCGGTTTGGAATGGTGCGGTTCAAACGTACAGATTTGTTTGTAAATTACTGAGTAAGCACATGCTGGATTTAACCAGGAGAGAATTGTCTATCAGTAACGCACCAAACTGTCGCAGCTCTAACTCTCTGTGTATGGCCAGCTGATAGCTATTAACCAACCACAACCAGCAATAAATTTTGCATATTTTATGTGAAGTAAAGTAAATAATGATACTGCAATAAATATGGAAAAATATGCACATGGACGGGCGAATCCTTTCTAGGGTTATTTAGAAATTAATTATTAACTCTTAAGCGCAAATAAAAATTTGAGAGGATAAACGCTTCTTCTTTGAAATATTAAGCAAAGCTCTCGTCAAATTGGGGGACTAATTTTAATGGCGCCTCAATGTCTATCGCGATTTCTAGAATACTCACCACAATTCAAATCCGTGGCCTTGAGACCTATATGAACACACAGGGCTTCAGCAGGCTAGTACATGCACAAGAGAAACAGCTACATACACAGAACTGGTAATTAGGAGCTTTTTGGACGTTTCCTCAGTCAATTAATTGACAATTTCCAGTTCATAAAATTCCCTGGACAATTTCAGATTTTCTGAATTATTCCGCCTTGTCGTTACCGCGTAATTATATGAATGTATCGGGCATTGGCGGCCAATATTAATATCGGTATTGGTCGATCCCTAGCATTATGGATATTTCTGTGTTCTAATATGCAGGAAATCTGCCTGTAGTTAGTTATTATGGCAAAAGCCTCTTCGATATTTAAGAAGCCACCCGGTGTCCGATTCCTTTAGGTACTACGCCAACGGTTCTGTGAAACTGTGTTGAATTTATGGTCGATGCAAGAAGAAGAAGGAAATCGGCTCAATCTGTCACACTTCCACTAATGGATTTTTTGGAGTTTCTTATCCAAATAACATTCGCCCGTGCTTATTTCAAAACGCAGAACAAATTGTAACAGATGCGAAAATAAGCTCTACAACTCATTTTAGAAAGAATTATGTTGAAAAATTTCTCAAGAATCATTTTATATACAGGGTGTTTTTTTGGGAGCTTTAGTTAAACGTTTCTTGGAAAGTAAAATAGGTAGGTTTTTGAAAATGTGTACTTAGGAGTTACTCTAAAGACCGAATTGATGTAAAATATTTTCAAAATGGCCACACGACACTTCCGGAAACACCGGAAGTACATAGTAACTTCGTTATATTAAATGGCAACCCCTATTTTTTGATGGCAACCCCTATTTTTTGATGGCAGTTTTGGATTCTACGTGAAATTTCAGTTCTTTTGATACCCACATGTCCATATCTGCCATTTATGGTTTTTAAGTAATTTTGACTTTATAAAAAAAATGGCGGATGCAGATGGTACCTTGATAATTGATTACTTGAAAACGGTTATAGTCATGGCAACCCATTTTTATCAGTGCATAGAGAATGAATAGGGCTTTCTTTTAGTGTACTTAAAAAAAATTAAGATTAAAAAAAATTAAGTTGCATACAACCGCACCTATGGAGATACAAAGTTAAGACACTTCAAAGTCCAAAAACTCAGTTTTTTTAAATGGAATGACCATGCTCTTACTATTGCATGAGATACAGAATCGAAATTGGAATATTTTGATATTACATGTTCCTATAGCTATCTTTAACATTTTCTGATTTATTCCCATTTCATTGAATTGATGCCATTTATTTTCGGATTTTCATTTTAGTAGTTGGCCATGATTTTATAACAATCGAATTTTAAACAAATCAAGGAAAGGATACTTTAATATCATTGATTGTAGTCTAAATAAGTCATTTATTAAGGATATAGGACGGAAAATTTTTGAGAAATCTAAACAGAGTCATTCAACTGAATTTCTTAAACAACGTATAAGTCTGAAAATTCAGAGAGATAATGCGATATCTGTTCTAGCAACAATTCCCCACAAAAAAATGTTTCAACGAAGTTTTTTATATTTTACATTGAATTTATTTTGTTAATCTTGCATTTGCAATTCAATTCATTTTCTTAAATATTCTCTTGTAGAGCTTTGTATCACTTGTGCTGCAACGGTTTGTAGTGCATTTGGGGATAATTACAACATTTCCAAAATTCATACAATTTCGTTCCAGTGTTCGAATGAATGTACGGCAAGCATGTGCCGCGATTCTGTCCATTTCACCATAAATAACAATTAAATTCCAAAATAGGTGAAATCACTGCGAGTCATTTTTCGATTTTTGAAAAACTTATGTTAACCTATAACAGTAGGTGACGGATTAGTGTCACTAGAATTGTTTAAAATTCAATTGTTATAAAATCCTGGCCGACTACCAAAAAGAAAATTCGAAAAAAATAGTGTCAATTCAATAAAATGGGAATAAGTCAGAAACTGTTAAAGATAGCTATAGGAACATGTATTGTCAAAATATGCCCATTTCGATTCTTTATCTCATGCAATATTAAGAAAATGGCGATTCCATTTAAAAAAACTGAGTTTTTAGTCTTTGATGTTTCCAAGATCTCCATAGGGGCAGTCTTACGCAACTTAACTTTTTTTAAGTACACTAAAAGACAGCTGTATTCATTCTATATGCACTGATAAAAATAGGTTGCCATGACTACAACCGTTTTCAAGTAATCAATTATCAAGGTACCATCTGCATCCGCCATTTTTTTTCTTAAAGTCAAAATAACTTAAAAACAAATGGCAGATATCGACATATGGGTATCAAAAGAACTGAAATTTCACGTAGAATCCAAAAAGTAAATAAAACATTGGGGTTGCTATTTAAAATAACTAAGTTACTATCTACTTCCGGTGTTTCCGGAAGTGCGGCAATTTTGAAAATATTTTACATCGATTCGGCCTTCAGCGTAACTCCTAAGTACAAATTTTCAAAAACCTACCTATTTTACTTTCCCAGAAACGTTTAACTAAAGCTCCCAAAAAAACACCCTGTATAGGGGTCATTTTCGAAAAATCTTATTTATTAATTTTTGTAACGACACCGTGCGTATGGATTTATCTCGGGATTTATATGGTACCTTTTTTGGTATTGCGACGTACGCTTTCATTTGTAATGGGGATATAGGTAAGAGTCTCGGTAAGAGTAGATCACCTACACTGCAGCATTATTTGGGGATCAACTTGGGGCCATATTATTAACTTAGTATTTTCATTTCAAGTAATTGTCAATCTAACCGCACATCTAGAAGTATATATTGATACAATCTACATTTCTAGTTTGCTTGATAACGGTGCAAGGTTTCTAGTATTAGCACTCTTTCAGGTGTGATGTGATGGTAATGGTACGGATCCTTCATAGTAATATTTAAAAACAACAACTAACACTTTGGTGCTGGGGGTACTGACTGCACACGGTTCTTGGGTGCATGTTAATACCAAACTTCATACATGTAGGTATTGTGCAATAATTAATTCTAGTCAAAACGTTGCCATTAAATAATCATTATCAATGACTTATACTAAAGAGAAATTGCGAAAATATCAATGCGAGACATGTCAAAAGAGATTTTTGGGCAACAACGATTTGCGAAAGCACCTACGAATACACACGAACGAACGGCCATATGTTTGCGAGCAATGCAATAAATGTTTTCGACAAGCGGGTTCTTTAAAAAATCACATCCTATCGCAGCACTCTTCCGGAATAAAAAATCAGGAAATGTACATATGCTGGCATTGTCAGAAGGTATTTCCCATAAAAGAGAGATTGAGACTACACTTACGGGTGCATACGGGTGACAAGCCGTACCATTGCACGATCTGTCCCAAGACGTTTGCGAGAGGTGGTCAGCTGGTGCAACACATGCGGACGCATACGGGATCGAGGCCTTACATGTGCAATGAATGTGATTCGTCGTTTACGTGCTCCGCAAACTTAAAGTTGCACCTGAAACGGCACCAGGAAATTCGGGATTTCGTCTGCGACGTGTGCGGTAAGTCATTTTTTCGGCGTGACGCGCTGAAGAAACATTTAAATTGTTTTCACGCAAACGTCAAAGCTTTCCATTGCAACATATGTCATAAGATGCTTAAAGGCCATCTGCCACAACACATGCGTACGCATCAGAATGATAAACCGCACGGGTGTGGTCATTGTGGCGCCACCTTCGCTCAAAGATCACAACTCACGGTCCATCAGCGCGTGCACAGCGGTGAGAAACCCTACCGCTGCCAGGTGTGCTGGAAGGCATTCGCCCATTCCACTGCTTTAAAATTGCACACTCGAAGACACACCGGTGAGAAACCATTCGTATGCATGCTCTGCAGCAACATCGCCTTCTCTCAACTGCCTCATTTAAAAAAGCACATGCTATGCATTCACAAAACGAACAAGCCGTACGTGTGCGCTTATTGCAAATCGTTTCACAAGACCAAAGTCGATCTGGAAGCTCATCTCGAAAACTGCAAGCTAAATATACAAATACCAAAAGAGAAATTAAGCACCGAGCCGGAAGACGTCGGGCCTCCGATGGCAGTCGAAAAGATGCGCTTACTTTTAGCAATCCTGCTAAAGAAGATCTCAGCTCCTGAGCGATTGGTAGAGTTAGGTTTCAATAAACGTCTCATCGACGACGTACTCGTCGAGTCGATACAAAGTTCCGGTAGGGAACCGTGTAAGGATTACGCACTCACCGCTGCCGAGCAGCTAAAGAAAAACGTACAAATTTTACTAGACTGGACCGTTCCAAAGCATTACATGGAGAAGTTCAAGACGGAACAGCGCTCCACCGAGGAGCTATTAGAAGAATTAACTTCCTAATTAGTATTCTTGCCATTCAACTTAGTATTCGCCTGTTTTGCTGTTTATTATTAACGAATTAAGAGGTAGTAATTCGATGGTAGCTTTAAATTTGTTAATTTTAGATCGATGTAGACTAAGGAAACCTTTTAGTAATAATCAGCGTGACTGATGATGAGGGAATAAGCAATTAATTTTTACTCTTTAAGGAGGGAGATCTGTGTTATACTATAGGCAACTTGCCAAATTGTACAATCGTTTTACAGTTTATAATTGTACAAGTTGTCCATATTACCATACAGATTGTTTAATGTATTTTTTGTGCGCCAAAGAATTGGGAGTATGTAAAGTGTTATTGAGTTATTTGATTCAAATGTTTATAGTATTTTTGTTAATTTCGTTAAAATTCTATGTATACATGTTGGGTCATTCTACTGTGGAATGGACCTACATAAATGAATTAATTTTCCTTTTAGAAATGCAATGTTTAATTAATTGTATGCCTTGCTGTTTTAATTTTTATTAGACTTTTGCGACAGTTCCTGATAATATGTATTCAACACCTTTAAGAAAAGTACAAAATTTTCCTTTATTTAGCAAACTGCCAGTGCGAGAACCGTTAGTATTTGCTAGTCGTCGATGTTCTCGGGCGTCTAATTTTTGTTAGCGTAGGTACTCATAGTTTATTTTAATTTTAATTGAAAATTAGTGCCATTTTCAAAGTAAAACTTTAATTTCCAAATTCACTGCAAGTGTTTGATAAGTGTGATAAGTTATGTTAACCAAAGATTTCTTTAGCTGAATTGTAGTGTACAAAGTATTGGTTTAGTTACAAATTTACACTATTTAAACCTTAAATAAATATTAGTGATGGCTTTAATTAATATATGAACATAGTTCGCTTTTCATATATTTAATATTTCTAAAGCTCTTTTGCTGTATTATTTATGTGTATTTTCTATTGCACCATGGTTATTGCTAATTAAAATTTCTAAACATTATTTATATTATTTATTACAGCAGAACTGATGTCAAGTGTTTAAACATTTATTATTATTATTATGTTATATATGTTCTCTCTACCGGGAGGTCTTGATTTCATTTTGTTACTTGTTACATGAGCGTGAAGAAGACTGGGGGAAAGTAGTGTACTTTCCCACAAAGTTTATTGTTCATCGCACTGTAGGAACCACCCTCTATTATATATCCCTTTTTCTGAATACAAATAAATACATACGATATACTTACTGGTCATGTCTAATTACTCTGTTAATTTATTGATTCACCAGTTTGTCAAATGCAGGAAAACAGGTATTTATTTATTCATTTAAATTGCAATATAATGATCGTTTATTAATCCTTCTAATTATACTTAGTAACTGAACCTTTAACATTGGAGATGTTGATATGATCAATATGATTAATAACTAATTTTGTAAATTATAATTGGAAAATTACAGAAAACAACGGCTATTTAAAAATCGAGCGTGTGACAGTTAGCGCGTCGCAATTGTTTAACAGCTGCATCGATCGGCATAAACATAAACGGTTATACTTTTCAGATGCGGTTTGCATTTGCAACGTCGGTACATAAGTCGCAATGGCAGTCGTTAAGTGTTTGTAGGATCAATCTGGAAAATTCATGTTTTCACATGGCCACTTGTATGTCGCCTATTACCGTGTCGTAAAACCTTTACGCCCCAGAATAAATAGTAACGATGTTGTGTAACAAAAAGCTTTACAATAAACACTGTTTTTGAAATCATTTTTTATTTATTCAAGGTCGAATTGAATATTCATAGGTAAGACAAGATATGTCTGGGCAACTATATAGATCCTACCTGTTTTCCTGCATTTGACAAACTGAAATCTAATGGAACTGGGCAAGGTCAATCAATAAATTAGACATGATATGGCTCAATTTGCCTTTAGTTCCTCTAGCATGTCTAAATTGTAAAGATCACACACAATACAACAACCATTCTCGACCAGTAAAGCATTTTTACATTTGAATAAATACAACTATAATAACATTTATTTCACAGATTTTTATAACATTTACAAATCACTACGAATACCAAATCCTGGACCGGGAGGTTCGCTTGTTAAAGATGTTGGTTGGCCTAGCGGTTCCGATGCATATCTTCCATTCCTGTACAACATCAACAATTACTTTAATCACACAATACAAAAATATGTACACACCGTGGACCAGCTCTTGGTCTCTTCCCATCTTTCAGCTCGTCGAGTATTTCGATCATATCATCACAGGTCAGGTCCTCCTAAAACTTGCTCTTAGTAATGAGATTGAGGCACTTCAAACTTACGTAGTAATCGTCGTTTATCTGAACCATGGGTGCATTAACGCAAGCACCCAAACACTCCACTTCCGACAAGGAAAAGAGTTTATCGCAAGTTGTGTCCCCGACATTTATTTTGAGGTGATTTTTAATAGTCGACAATATGTCGTCTGATCCCCGTAACCAACATGGTGTTGTTGTACACACTTGTAAATGGTATTTGCCAATCGGTTTCCTGCGTAAGCAAATGTAAAACGTGACACAGATCATGTGGGAAACGTACCGGATGAACATGGTATAAAATGTAGCGACTTCGTAAACTCGCATACGAGGTAAATCCAGAATTTCCGCCACCTTATGCATCGCGGACAGCGGTAACCAGCCATACTGGCGTTGAGCCAAGTCCAGTAATGGAATCATTGCTGCTCTTTTATGTCCTTCGGGATAAATCGCCAGAATCGCATCCACTCTCTACAAACTTAAGTACTAATCGTAATAGAAAGGTGACAAACATACCTTCAAATTTTCTGGCGAAAATTCGAATTTAATATCAGGATTGTCCTCCGCAGTATCACGGTGTACAAATAAAGCATCATGTTGTAAAGCCGAGGATGTCTGTAGGTTTCGGACTAGGCCCTTTTGCCACTGTTAATATGGAAATTCTGTATTATTTCAAGAGGTGCGTTATACTTACAAGGCGTGCTATATTCTTTAACGATATCATTAGAATATTTAAGCTAACGAAAATAAATATTGAAATGTTACATAAATTCTTGACTTGATCTATTTGAGGTTAGGTAAATATTCTCATTTCATCAAACTTCTTTTGCGTCAAAAGTTTCCCATTTTACCTAATTGCTATTCGTAGGGGGATTTGCGTGCGCAGCTATACGACATTAAAAATACTCACTAATCCGCCGATACTCCTTGAAATGACTATAATCATTTGATCGGGACGTTCTTAAGAGTCTTTAAAGCATTCTCCCCTGTATGACTTTTGAATCTTTTTAAGGCTAAAGCCTAAAAGCCTTTTGAAGTGATAAGAGGCTTTTTAAATACCATTCTTAATTAATTATTATTCATTCTTATTGCTATTGAATACTCTACAAGACGAACTTTATGCCGGCTCCAGACTCACGCCGTGAATTCATACCGCGCGGTATCGAGGGGCCTCCGGTATCCCTCGTGGTGTCGGAGGAACACGTTGACCTTTTTCCTTTTCCTTTTTACCCCAACGTGAAACAACAATGTGGGGTCATGTATAGACTATCAGTGGAATTCATGGGGTCAGATCAACTAACGGAGATGTCAAAAAGGGCTTCCTTATTTTTTTATGTACTTTGCCAATTTACGAATTTCAAAATTTCATCGCAATCGGAGCATTCGTTCTATCTTAAATCATTGGACATGCAGCCATCGAGTGAGCGAGCAAGCGGACGGACAGAAGAGCAAGCAAGCGAGCGATCGGTTGATTCAGAGAAAATAAGCGTCTCGATTACCAACTCGATACCAAAATTAATTATGTACTTACTCGTACAATTATGAACCAAACGAGGAAACAAGGATAGGAAAAAACAGAAGGGTGAGTTGTGTAGTAAGGTGTACGAAAAATAGGATACAAATATACGAAGGGAAGAATATTAATAGTAGTAGGAGATCAAAACCTATAGGGTACTGAAGACGCTCACAAAAGGGAAACAAATAAGCTGAATAGTCAAGGGTAAAGAAAAAGGAGAACAACAGATTATGATCGAACTAAACTACAGGATAACTGCATTTTAAGTGACGTACCTCAAGTGAGTATGACAGGATCTAACAAAAATAAATTGATAACGATAATCGAAGCATGATTGGAAAAGTCGCAAAGTACTTTCCCGAAACAAAAAAAGATACTAAACCACAAAATTGATAGCAAAATAACTAATCCAAAAGAATAAGGGAGAAATGTGGGGTTTTCGCGGCGTGAGTCTGGAGCCGCCTTTAGAAAAACTATTGACTATCTTAAAAAACCAGTAAACGTATAAAGTTTTTAAGTGTAGACACTTTTTAGAGAAGTGTTTAAGTGTAAACACTTTTTATAGACTGTTGGGAACCTTTTGAAAGTTATTAGCCGATTTTAAGGGCTCTTAAATATTTATTAAACGTCAAAAACATTTAACAAGGCGTTAGAAGACTGTAAAAAAAAAGGTCATAGGCTAGTGTACATTATGTATGTACATATAATAGTCAATGGCTACAGCAAAGTATTGCACAATATTATGAAACAAAAAATGTGAAGCACCTTGTATGACATGCCACCTTCACGCATGCGCAATCCATATTTGTATCATCATCTGTAAAAAAAAGTTGTGGGTGAAACAAATATGTCGGAATTTTGGGCTTGATAACTGAAATCAGTAGTAAATTCAGTAATTGTTCGTAAATTATCATTTGTGCAATTATTTAGTAATTGTGAAACCTTGACTTTTACTCTGTCAGTAATTTAAGGTAAGAAGTCATTTTAGAAATACAAATGATATTTACTTAATGATTACAAATTGCTTTTCTTGATTTTTCTGCTGAAAACTATAACCAGTATTGATTAACTGTAGATAATTATTGCAGAGCACTTTAGGGATAATCTGAGTGATTCATTACTTGTGATGCAAGTACTTTAATTCATGTGATTAGCAGAGATAACGCAATCTCACTTGTATCTTCTACCTCAATTTGCGTTAAAATAATATTCTTAGTTTGTAGAAATGACGACTTGGAATAGCGCCCCTTATCCTCCACCAGGTAAGAATCGCACTTGATAACAAGAATGTTAGTTTATAATCTTCCATTCAGATCCGTATGGTGGTCAACAAGGCTATCCACCGCAGCAACCTTACCCAGGAGCTGGCTATCCGAATGCCCCTCCGGCTTACCCGGCCGGCGGACCTGGGGGATATGCTCAACCGGGGCAGCCACCATACGGGCAACAACCTTATGGCGGACAACAACCCTATGGACAACCGGGCGGCGGAGGCTACACACAACCAGGTGAAGCAACTCGTCTCAATAATATGACCGGTTTGTTTTCTTATTTAAAGTAGTTTTTTATTCGAATACTGTGTGCGGTATTAGCTTACACCATTTGTTCGATGAGTTTATAAATACTGGAACACTTACGGCTGTTGAGGTAAACCAAATTGTGATAAACAATCCGATTGATATGCAACATGTTTTATTTCAAAAGCTGTTTTTATCAAATTGATATGGTATGGATGTTACTGTCGGTAAGCAGTTTCAATCGAGGGGTACACCAACTTTCAGAAATTTGTTGCAAATGTTTTGGAATTGTCACAAATGTTCATTTTTTGAAATGCGTAGGAGTGTTCTAAATTTTGTGGAATTATTTTGGAAATAATTAGGATATTCCATTTTACAGGGAATCTGTCCGATGGTATTCTTGCACAATTAAGGCGTTGTGCGCGGGTGCACCATCATGTTGAAACCAACAGTTTTTAAATTTTGTTTTTTTGTGTGTCGTACATCATTGTACAGAGTTATCATAAAATAAGGGATATATTTTAAATTATTATAACTTTAACAAATTAAGTTAATAATAAAAAATAAATGAAATCTAATTGGGTAAGAAATGGGATTTAGTATGCCCAAAGCCAGTTACGGCAATTGCTCAGTATGACCTTCATTTTGCTGTTTCAAGATTACCAATCTTTCCTCCAAATTGTACACAGCATTCCGTAACGTTTTCATGAAGAACCTCTGCTACTTGGACATCACCAATTCTTGGTCTTCCTGATCTTAGTAGGTCAATTACAGAGCCTGTTCTTTCAAATTTTTGTATCAAATTGCGGTACGCTTTCATTTGAATTCTACATTTACATGAGTTTTAATTTGAAACTAAAACTCCAAATTCAATGATTTCGTTTTGACACTTGTGTCAACAATTAAAATAACAATTTTGTTTTCTATAGATGCAATAAAATCCCATTCCTTAAGCAACTAGATTTCGTTTATTTTTTGTTATTAACTTCGTTTGTTAAAAAGTTATAGTAATTTTAAGTATATCCCTTATTTTATGATAACCCGATATTTGATACTTGATACTTTGCCATATGCCTGGCGTCGCCGCTTCTCCCAGGATTTAGTCAACTGTCGTGGGGATGCGTTCCTGATAGGACTATCAGGGGCGTTTCACCACTACTTTGTTCGTCACCGGCTTGACACCACAGTGTTGTCAAGTCTGGAGAAAGTGTCATTGACAAAGTGTTAAGGGGCATCTTAAGACCTAAAACCAAACCTTGGTATGGAAGTGTGGTCAATTTACTAGGAAAGGCATAAAATGGCATTTTAGTGGTTATATTTTTCAAAATGGTTCGAGTAACGACTCCCGTTTAAGGTCGTCCGCCATCTGACAGTGACTTTGGGAAGTATGTCAAAGTGAAGGTCGCCTGCTAGGTGGCTGTGACCTTGACAAGTAGATAAAGGTGCAAAGCATGTTTTCGAGGTTTTCAGTGACACAATTTAAGTGTAGTCATATTTCAATCCCAAGCTTACCAGAGGTCAATCACCCCATTTTTTGTGGGACCACATTTGACTTCCAAAGTTACTAAAGGTCAATAATCCCGTTTCTGCAATGCCATTTTATTTTCAAGGTCATCAAAGTTCAATGTTCAATTTTTTGCGGTTTAATATTCCATTACGCTTTTGAAAAATATCCCTTATCCGTATTCGTTTCGACATTGAAAACCAAATGAAGATCATAACAATTTGTTGACATGTCTATGAAAACCAAGCTTTAGAATAGGCCCTACATGGTTCACAAAAATCAAGTACCTATTGCCCTTCAAAATAAAATTTATCAGCACAAAAATGAGGTCATTGACCTTTGTTGACCTTGAGAATAAAATAACACTACAAAAATGGACTGATTGGCCTTGAAAATGAAATATGACGCCACAAAAAATGGAGCTATTGACCTTTAATGCCCTAGGGAGTAAAATGCATATATATAAGAGAAGTATATGGATAAACGAGTGGACACGCCTATCGCCAACGTTAGTGGATGGAAATATACTTCTGTCATTAGTTGGGAACTAGGCGCTAATGCGCTTGCCTGTTATTATGTAGTGTTATTTACCAAGCATTTACTACAGTTTGACATAACGGATTGAGGTTAAATTGTTTGTTTTGTTTATGAGTTATTGAACTTTTGTTTAATTTTAATAGTAAAGAAGCCTTTCGTAGTTATATAAATCAGTATACGTAAGTGATACCATAGTGTAATTACACTAAGGTGATACACAATAATTGTAAAGGAATACCTAATGTTTGGCAATTTTAGTGTGTTCATTACTTAGAAATAAAGAAATGCAGGTACTTGTGGGAAAGTGGATTTTTCGGTTTCATGGCACAAGTAAGTTACAATGCAATTATCTGCAATCAATTCATTTATGCCATACTTGTTATTAGATTCCCAAGTGAAAAAAGCAACAAGAATCGGTGACTACAAGCATGTGAACTATCGGAATTCGATGATGTAAAAACAAGGTTGTGTTCTCGTCATTTTAACCGCTATGACTGCATTGATTTGGATGCACGCAAGCATGATGGGGCACGAAGTTATATGGGGGTCACTTAACACCTAAAAGATTTCCAACTCGACAATGTTAATTTTATTTTAAAATCAGTAAATGTCTTTAATTTAATTGTGTTTCTTTGAACATTGGTAATGTATCACTTTATATTATAGCTGATGCAAACTTATCCAATTTCATGTTATATTCAAGATATAATCCCTATAGGTATATTATTTCAATTGCAATTTAA